CAATGCAACTTACTGATATATGGCGTTTGACCCATCCGGACGGTAGAGATTACACTTTTTACTCTCCCGTTCACCATTCCTTATCTCGAATCGATTATATTTTTGGCAACCCCATTACATTGCAACATGTGGTGTCATCTACCATACATGATATAGCCATATCGGATCACGCCCCAATTTCTATTACTATAAATCTTCTAGATCCTACACCACACCCTAGGATATGGCGCTTCCCCTCATTTTTGGCGAACAATCAGGAGCTTTCCCGACAGTTACAAGACACCTGGGCAGATTTCCAAATTAATAATGCGGCTCATGTCACCAATCCAAATTTATATTGGGATACGGGAAAGGCGGTGCTACGTGGCAAAATTATTGCCTTTACATCTGCATATAAAAAAAAATTTTGCATAATTTCACCGAGGCTAGTAACCTTCTTAGACTGACTCAGCGAAAGATGACGGAATTCAATTCGCAGGACAATAGGAAAGCTTGGGCGGATGCTAAAAAACCAGTTCGACACATGGGCGGCTGCTCAGGAAACACTACATCACTCATACCTTGATTTACAGTATCACAGGTTTGGTAACAAACCAGGCAAACTTCTGGCGCGCATGTGTAGGAAGCCTTTTACCCCCACGCAATTCACCTCTCTAAAAGATTCTCAGGGGATACTTCAACAATCTCCAGAAGAAATTATATCTATTCTGGAAAGCTATTACGCAAATTTATATGGGTCGGACCCTATAGACCAGGTACGGGCACACTCCTTTCTCGACAGCGTACATCTACCACAAATAGATCCAATAGCACTGCAATCACTAAATGCCCCGATATCTCAAGCGGATATTAGTCAGGCTATTACCTCTCTAGCCAATGGCAAAGCCCCAGGTCCAGATGGGTACACTTCTGAATTTTATAAACTTATGGATAAAACCCTCTCTCCTACTTTACAGCGGGTTTATCAATCTATTCAGGAGAGTGGGGTGTATCTTCCATCAGCTTCCCAAGCCCACATTAAATTAATAGCCAAAAAAGGCAAAGACCCTTCGGAGCCTGGTTCTTATCGTCCGATTTCTCTCCTTAATCTAGATGCAAAGATTCTTTCTAAAATTGTAGCTAATCGATTGGCTATTATCTTACCCTCCCTTATTCATCCTTCTCAAGCAGGCTTTATAAAGGGGCGCTCGGCCACATCAAACATTCGCAAGGTGCTTACAGTTTTACATCAGGCTAAAAATAACCCATGCCAGGACCTAGCGATTATTTCCCTCGACGCTGAAAAAGCTTTTGACAATGTAAGTTTTGATTGGCTTCACTTAGTCCTCGCTAAATTTGGCTTTTCCGGTCCATTCACACGTTTAATTCAGGCTATGTACTCCGCCCCGACAGCTCAGGTAGTGGCGGCGGGGAACATATCCAACTCCATTCCGCTACATAAGGGCACAAGACAAGGCTGTCCTTTGTCCCCCCTGCTTTTCAATCTAGCCTTAGAACCCTTGGCCCGCTTCTTGTTGTTTCAGTCACAACTTCATGGCATTCAAATTGCCCAACAAGATCTTCGCCTAGCTTTATTTGCGGACGACATACTGATATTCACCTCCAACCCGTCTTTAGATTTACCGTACATTCAATCCGTTTTCGCAGATTTTCGGAATTGCTCGGGTCTCCGTATAAACTTTGCGAAAAGTGAGGTTTTGCCCTTGTATCACGCTCGACTCCCTGAGTGGGCTGACAACTCACTTTTTAAAATTAATACAAACCATATCACCTATCTAGGTATTAAAATTGGGAAATTAGCTTCGTCCCTCTATTCTCTTAACTTCTCGCCAGTAATACAAAAAATATTAGGGGAATTAGAGATGTGGAAAGAATTGCCGTTATCACTTATGGGTAGAGCCCACCTCTTCAAGATGACGAGTTTTCCGAAGCTTTTATATCCTCTCCAAACTATCCCTCTCCTGCTCAAGCGCACGGATATTGTCAGGTTGAACAAAGCGATTTCTAGTTTCTTATGGAGGGGGGCGCCGACCGCGTATAGCTATATACAAGTTGTTTCTCCCTAGATGTGAGGGTGGTCTGGGCCTTCCCAACATCAGGCTTTATAACTTATCCTGTATCTTACGGGTATGTATAGATTGGATCTCCCATTCGTCCAGGTTTTCCAATTACCAACTCGAATCTGCTATGGTGAGTCCGTTTGACCTGTCGGCCGTTTTACATTCCAATTCCACTTCACTCCCTCCACAACTTAAACACAACCCACTCATACGGGATACACTATTTACATGGAGAGAGGTCAGACGTAGATTAGGAGTTTCTCCCTGGCTGTCCAGTTTTCTCCCTATTCACTACAATCCTTCCTTTTCTGTCTCTCAACATCATGCAGCCTATGACAAGTGGTATAACCAGGGCCTTAGACTTGTAAGTCAACTGTATGACGCAGCATCAGGATCCCCCCTTCCGTTCCAACAAATTCTTAGCTCGTTTGATCTTCCTTCCCACCATTTTTTGTATATTTTGCAAGTCAGGAATTATGTGAAATCTATAGCACAAAATAAGTCCACTCGATTTTGCTCGACTATGATAGAAGTCCTTGTAAGAAATCAAAAATACAACATATCCAATATATATGGTCATTTGTCTATGCACTATGCTAAACCGATGGAAATCTTATTCTTCCGTTAAAACATGGATACGAGACTTTGACAATGCTTTTACCGCGGAGCAGATGCTCACAGGTTTTAATACTACCTGTGCGTTCAATACGAACGAATTTTGGAGGGAGCAGCAATTTAAAATTATGCACCATGCTTATATGCCCTGCCTGTACTCCCGAGCAGACTCAAGGATCTCTACATGTCCGCTCTGTGGATCATATAAACCGTCACTTCACCACAGATTCTGGAATTGCCCATTGGTCTGTACATTCTGGACTCAACTTTTGGATTTTGTGCTCTTCATCACTACTCTTCAGTTACCTAGAGACCCGCTGCTACTTCTTTTTGGCAACTTGGAAGTTTCAGTGTCTGCTGCCCCACACCGCCATCTTGCTTTGCTCAGAGCAGCCAAACCATGGCTATCCATTTGCTTGATGGCGGCAAGAAGGGCTATTTTGAAAAAATGGGTCTCCACCTCTCCACCTACCATCTCAGACGTCAAAATGGAACTTAACTTTCTACTTCGATTGGATCGGCTCGGCATGCATATAGCTCCTTCTACAACAGCAGTGGAAAAGTTCAACCGCAAGTGGGGTCAATATGTTTCAAAAGTTCTCCCTACTGTGGAGCCCCAGCACCCCTCTCATAGATTTTTAAATTAGTCATTAGCTAGCTTCTAGGGTACTCCTGATGCATGGTGTTGTTATTGTCTAAAGGGATAACTGATTCTTATTTTATGAATGCTGTGTCTTTCTCAGAAATCTCCTTTTCTGTTTATGCTGTGTCCTCCTCTCATTTCGGTGCCCTGGCATATCATTCGCTCTCTTATCCTTCTTGCTGACCTATGTGAAGTGGTCTCCTGCTAGCTCACCTTTATACATACTGATGCGCTGCTCCTACTTACTACTTTACACCTTACTATATGACTACTCGTTCAATCTATTTTTTTTTTTTTTTTTTTTCTGCTTAAATCTCTATATCTTGGCAGGTTCCCATGGTCCTCTGGCCTCAGAATTCAGGCACGTGACTGCTTGTTCTCTATTTCTCCTTCTTCCCTTCTTTGATGGTATACTCTCTCTATATGCTGGCCTTTTCAGCTCTGTTGTCTTACTTTCTAACTGGTCTATTTCTACCCTATCTTTTACATTTCTTCATTATTTCCTACTTTTTTGCACAATGACCTCCCTGTTGGTCGTTACGACAAATGGTCAACATTGCTCACATCGCTTATTCTTTTTGCTCTTATGTCTGATTACATTATGTATACGTGACTCTCTACACTTAGTATATTTACACTTTAAGCCCTTGTATCCTGCTACATTACATGCTCTATACTTTTTTCATAGAAACTCTTTTCTTCCTAAACTTATCTAATTTCTTATCTGATTTGTTCAGGGCTTCTGTAACGAGTCTATGAGTAAAATTGTTATCTTGGAATTTATTCACCTGATTTGGCATGTTGCCACGCTATGATTACTGACATATCTCATCGTTGGTTATTTTGTATGCACAATAAAACCCAATAAAGTCTCTTTAAAAAAAAAAAAAAAATCAGGCAGGGCAAAGCACTAGGGACAAAATGTATGTGAAATGGTTTGATACAGTAATGTTTTACTATGTGATTTTAGGGAATTTAGTGAATTTCACTTTTCAAATTTCTCGCCAGTTCCGTCCCCTGTACGTTCCGACGTCGCAGGGAATGGAACCCGGAAGACAGATGCCGGCATCGGCCAGAGGACACTGCAGGAGGGACATCGCGGGAGCGCAGGACAAGGTAAGTGCAGAAGAGATCTCGGAGCAACGCTGCAAGCTATTCCCGAGCGTAGCTCGGGGTTATCGCTTGTGGTGCTGAAACTTTACCCCGAGATACGCTCGGGAATACCTCCAGGGAGGTTAATATACTAGATAATACAAACTGGTACATTATAAGTTAGGACGTCTAGGGGGGTCCGCTGAAATAAGGAGGGAGGGGAAGGAAAGGGGATAGTATGTAATGCAGGGGTAGAATCAAGGTGCATAATAGAAGATATTATAGAACCGTATTTAATTACATTTCTTTGTTGAGGCCACCAGGGGCCAGGGTATTAAGCGTGTAGATCCAGAAGGTTTCTCTTTTACAAAGATGCTTATAGCGCTCTGCTTTAGGGAAACTTTTGAGGATGAATTAAATAACCCACACTCTAAGGCCAACTGTCAGGAATGGACTGGCCAGCAATGGTGGGACTCACCTGCCTTTTGATCTGCAGTACCAGGGCTGGCCAGCGGGTGCTCCCAGCAATCAGAGACTCAACCATTCAGCCAGCTAACACCTGGAACTGAGGATACTGGTGTATTTAAGGGATGGCCAGACTTGCAGACTCTGCCTTGGTGTTGTGTTTGTCCTGGGCCCTGTATCTGTCCTGCATCCTGTTTCTGTTCCTTTGCTGACCCTGCCTGATCTGAACCGCTGCTGACTTCTCCTGCTCTGATCCCGGCTCGCTCCTGACCATCCCTCTGCCTGACCCTCTGTACCACGCTGCTTGCTACCTGTTCTGATCCCTGGCTTGTGACCCTGACCATCCCTCTGCCTGACCCTCTGTACTACGCTGCTAGCTACCTGCTGAACCTGGCCTGTGACCCCGACCCATCTCCGCTTGCTCCCCCTGTACCTACCTGCCCTATTGATATTGACCCGGCCTGTCTGACGACGCTTGCTTGTATGTACTGTTATCTGTGGGTGGTTGGTTTGGTTTGTTTGCACTGTATTATGTTTAGTATTGCACTGCGTTTATGTTTGTATTGTTAGTGTTAATAAATTATATTGTTTATCACATATCTGAAGTCTGCGTTTCCCTGCGTCAGTCACACACCTCTGGTCACACCGGGGAGCCCTGACACCAACAGAAGACTGGAGATGAAATTCAGAGAAGTGTTTGGGGACACTCAATTTATCCTTACCATCATCCACTGAACTCCTATGTTCACCAAATCTTTGGCTCAGTGTTGATGGTGCGGCCTACATAGAGGAGTCCACAGGGGCAGGTGCTTATTTATAGCACTGCACTTTATCATATTTTGATGTGAAGGATAGGCCTAAAGGATTTGAATTGCAATAGGCCACTAATAAATCAACTTCTGTTCGTGTACAATCCAAAATGACCACACTGTCATCTATGTAATGACCAAAGTAAATTATGTTTTTTAGCATGGGGTTGTTATTCCAGATGGACTGGTGTTCCCAGAGGCCCATGGCAAGATTTGCGTATGTCCTGAACTCGCTCTCCATACTCCCGGAGTCTATGGGAAGCTATTCAAGTAGATCAACTTCTCTGCGCACACAATAATAGACGGTTTTAACTTGTCTGTACTTTATTGGCACATTGCAGATAAATGGTAAAACTATAACAAGAAGATAACATACAATCACTATACGATAAACATCACAGAAAAAATGACACTCAATTTAGCCAAGATCCTCTTCTATACAATCCTAGCTACCTATAGCAGGAAAAAAAGGAACATTAATTACCTTCGATGCCATCAGATGGAAAGAGAATCTGGTTGCTTCTCTCATGCAGAGAGAATCATGGATTCCTATGAGGTGTTTTACTTCCTGTAGTTCACTTCCTGTATTGTGGGAGAAGCGATGACCTTTCATATAACATCCTGGCTAGCTAAATAACACAGCTCTGAAGTTTAGACAGTAGGCGGCATAAGAGAACAGATAACTAATCTGTAAATAAACATGACTACAATCAAATGCAAAACAACATAATTATACAGGTCAATCTTGATCTAGAAGTCCTCAGAAGAGACACTCCCCCTCTGGCGTTATCCAATGCCACTGACATTGTCATTGGGCATCAGTAATATCCGGTCTGATATTGGTTTGAGGAACAGTCTGTCACCTTGTTTGGAAGTCTTAACTTTGACCTTCCTAACACATCCATCTTTGCTTTGGAACGTCTGGGTGAGAAGTCCCAAAGGCCAGTCCTGCATGTTTGGCAGTCTTTTTAATAAGTACCAAATCGCCTTGTTTCAAGTCAGGTTTGGCAACTTGCCACTTTTCCCTGGGTTGTAGGATTTGAAGGTACTGTTTTTTCCACCTGTCCCAGAAGGTGTTAGCTAGGCATTGCACCCGTCTCCATTGGTGTTTGAAGAGATCTTTTGCAGTAAACTCTCCATGTGAGGCACTGACCATGCCAGTTTTCTGAGTAAGTAGAGTAGCTGGGGTCAACAGCATTGGGTCCTCCGGATCGGTTGAAACTGGAACCAACGGCCTTGCATTTATAATGGATGAGATTTCAGCCATAAAGGTTGTCAACCACTCATGAGAGAGTCTGGCATTTCCCATTTGTAAGAAAATAGAGTCCAGAATCTTGCGGGCTATGCCTATCATCCTTTCCCAAAACACCGCCCATGTGGGAAGAATGAGGAGGGTTGAATGTCCAGGCACATCTTTGTTCATTGAGATATCTTTCTACGCTGTTATTGTCAAGATTGGAAAGGATCTAAAGTTCTTTGACTGCTCCAACGAAATTAGTGCCTCTGTCAGAGCAGATGTGTTTAACAGGACCTCTGATGGCAATAAAACGTCTGAGAGCGTTGATAAAGCTGGAAGTGTCCTATTCGATAAAATCTATGTGAACAGCTCAAATGGTCAAACAAGTAAATATAACGGCCCAGTGTTTGCTGCTGGCGTGACCTCCTCTGGTTTGTCGAGTAGTAACAGACCAAGGACCAAACCCATCAAGGCCCACATTTGTAAAGGGAGGATCGATAGCAAGTCTGTCAGATGTAAGGTCAGCCATCTTTTGGGTTTGTACAAGTCCACGAAGCTTGCGGCATGTGACACAATTAAAGATACACCTGTTCACACCTCTTTTTGCTCCTATTACCCACAGTCCAGCAGCTCTCAAAGCTCCGTACATGAATAAGCAGCCTTGGTGTTTTACTTGACTGTGGTAGTGCTGTACAAGTAGAGCAGTGACATGATGGTGAGCTGGCAAAATCAGAGGGTGTTTCTCATTGTACTCTAAACTTGCTATCTTGAGGCAACCCCCTATCCTTAACAGGCCATTGCTATCAAGAATTGGATCGAGTTTCCTTAGGACACTGTCTTTAGAGTTTGGCTTTTTGCTGTTTAATACAGTCAATTTCCTTAACAAAGGTCTCTTGTTGCACAGTACGGATGATCAGATGTTTTGATTGCTCTAGACTGGCCACTGTGTAAGCAAGTTTACAGTGGTGCCAACCTTTGCAGTCAGTTTCTTTTTCAAAGGAATGCGCTATATGTGATAAACAAGTGATGGCTCTAATAAGTGATCTCCATGTATTAAACCTGCTAAACTGATGAGATCTGAGATGCTGGAGTGAAGTAACTGTGACTAATGTAGACACTTGTGGATGGACCTCTGCATCCTCATTTGCATTTATCAAGCAGAAGGCGTCAGAATCAGAAGTTCTGTGTTCTGAGTTGTACAGAAATGCAGGGCCTGTAAATCGCATTGTATCCTTTAGATGGTTGGCTAGAAAGGCTCTGGTTGCTAAAGTCTGCAGGATTGTGGTTGGTTGATACAAAGTGCCACTGTTTTTGGATGTGTGGATCTCCTAATCTTCAATACCCTGTTGCTGATATAGACATAGAAGCATCTGGTTTTGTTGTAGATGTACCCCAGGACTACTTTACTATCTGTGTGGAACTCAGTGTCTTTGATTTCTAGGCCCATCTCTCTAGTTATGTCACGATCCACCCGGCGGTATCTCTAGCAACCCACAGAACGGGATTCCCCAGGGCGCGGGGTCTAAGCCCCAATATGCTTATTCACCAGGCCCCTGATGGTGGGGATGAACTTGGAGCAGACTGAGACCAGGTTGCGACCCTGAGTGCACCCGACTGTGGTAGAGGGAACCGCCAGAGGTATGTATCGGAAGAGAGCCTGATGTGAAGAGGCTGGCAGACCTGCGCAGTGGTGACCGGATCCGTGCAGGATGGATGGATGACAGAGTACGTGTAGCGTAGTCAGGCAGGCCAGGTCGGTAACAGCAGAGGCAGAACAGTACAGAGCAGCGGACAGAGAGTAGTCGGGTTACAAGCCAGGTTTCAGCAACAGGAGGTCAGGTAATCAGGAGTAAGCAAAAGAATAGTCAGACGAGCCAGGGATCAGAGCAGGAGACAGTCAGCAGAGGTCAGGATCAAGCAGGGTCGGTAACCAGGTATCTCACGCAGGAACAGACGAGCAGGGAACAGGGAATGAAGACCATACGGCAATGTGAGCATTGCACAAGCTAGTTTAAATAGCGCGCCTGGGTCCTAGTGCCTGCCTGGCAGTCATTGGTGACAGGCGCGCCTGGATCCTAGTGCCCGCCTGCCTGTATGTCTTGTCGGGATCCTACACCTGTGCAGATTCATGCGCCGTGGTGATCTCTGGGATTCCTGACAAGTTATCATGTCAGCTAGCTCTACGGCTAACACTGCAGCACAAAGTTCCAGCCTAGGTATTGTGTGTTCTGGGAGTGGGGCAAGTTTCGCTTTTCCCATAACAAAACCTATATGGTAATGTCCTGTGATGTCCTTAGTCTTAAGGTAAGCTACCACAGCAATTGCCTTGATGGAAGCATCACAAAAAAACACAATCTTTGGCTTTGGACCTCTTTACTCGGCACAGGAGCAAATGAGCGAGGAACCTGGAGGTTAGACAAGGCTATTAAGGAATTTCTGCACTCTGACCACTGATCTCTTTTTTCAGGGGGAAGTGGGTCATCCCAGTTCACTGTCTCTTGAGTCAAGTCTCTTAGAAGCGCCTTACCTTCAATGGTAACTGGAGCTGCAAATCCCAGAGGATCATACAAACTGCATATGGCTGACAGAACACCTCTGCGAGTAACGGGTTTTTTTCTTGACGAACATGGAAGGTGAAGGAGTCTGATTTTAAGTCCCAGAGCAGTCCAAGGCTACGTTGCATTGGGAGAGAATCAGAACTTAAGTCTAAGTCTTTGAGCTCACTAGAGCGATCTTGAGAGGGGAAGGCCTCCATCAATTTTATGCTGTTAGAAACGATCTTGTGGAGCCTCAAGTTAGAACAGGCTAGCATCTCCTGTGTTTTCTTGAGGAGACTGCTAGCTGCTTCATTGGTAGGTAGATATTTTAGGCAGTTATTTACATAGAATCCTGTTCTACTAAGTGTTTCACATCCGATCCATAAGATGACTCACCTTCATGAGACCGAACGTGTGAGTCCGTAGATGGCCATTGCAGGGGAAGGGCTATTCCCAAATATGTGGATTTTCATGCGGTATTCACAATCTCGTTGGAAAGGGTCGTTGTCTCTGAACCAGAAAAATCTAAAAAAAATTCCTATGTTCCTTTTTCACCACCAGAAAACAGTGGAACATCTGCTGGATGTCCACCATGAATGCATACATAGTCTTTGCGGAAACGGAGGAGTACTCCTATGAGTCTGTTGTTCAAGTCTGGGTCTTGACGAGAAGGACATCAATTTTAATGACACTACCCTTTTTCTTTAGAGCTAGAGTCAAACATCACTCTAATCCTGTCCTGGTGTCTTAGAGTGGTACACCCCGAATATGGGTAAGTACCAATACTCCTTGTTGTCTTTAAGAGCAGGAGCTAACTATGCGTGGTTGGTTCCGAATACCTTGCCCATGAAAGTAATGAAGTGATCCTTCATTTCTGTGTTTTTGTTTTTTTTTTTTTTTTCTCACGAAAATTGCGTTTGAGGGAGACAAAAATGCTTAAGGACTTGTTCCCTA